CTGTAGGAATCCATACTCTTTGGTTCTTTCGGTAAAGTCACGTAGTTAGAAATAAAATAAAATTAAACAAAATCACGACGTTTCTCCCTTGTGATGGGACTTTGTAGGATGAACGTTGAGATGTATAAGGGCACGGGGTGACCAATATAAGGTCTGAATTGGTCTGGAGTAAGGTAGGGGCACTGATAAGGGCTTGACAGGTATGTGCTCGCGTGTCCCACTGCACCCTCACATCCCGGCTTTCAACATCTGCATCCTTCCCTTTCCTGCGGACGGGGTCGTACATCTCTTTTGCCATCCTAGCCGCTCCCTCTGCCTTGTGCTGCGGATTAATAATAACGATAATAACATTTGTAAAGTGGCGCATTTCATCCGTAGATTCCCATAGAAAATTGTGGAGGGAGCTGAAGGTTCGAGTTCCTAAACGTCAGCCTCGAAACCTTAATGACTTGGAGAAGATCTGCAAAGAGGAGTGGGACAAAATCCCTCCTGAGATGTGTGCAAACCTGGTGGCCAACTACAAGAAACGTCTGACCTCTGTGATTGCCAACGAGGGTTTTGCCACCAAGTACTAAGTCATGTTTTGCAGAGGGGTCAAATACTTATTTCCCTCATTAAAATGCAAATCAATTTATAACATTTTTGACATGCGTTTTTCTGGATTTTTGTTGTTGTTATTCTGTCTCTCACTGTTCAAATAAACCTACCATTAAAATTACAGACTGATCATTTCTTTGTCAGTGGGCAAACGTACAAAATCAGCTGGGGATCAAATACTTTTTTCCCTCGCTGTATCAATGACGTGCGAAAGCCAAGAACGGATCGTTCTGCTGCAGCGGTGTGCCAATTCGGTCCGTAATTTTTTGTTTTGTTAATTTAATATCTCATCGTGAACGCTGGGGGATCGCGTGTGTGAAGGAGCCACGGCACAGTTCTTCACCACCCCCCCCACCCCCCCGACGCCCCCAGCACCCCCCCCCCCCAAAGCCCCCATCCCATGTGTCACGCATCCCACAGTTGGCAGTCGTGCGAGTGCCAAGCGCGTGAGCGCATAGCGATAGGGACAAGACAACTCCGCGATTCCCATGACATCAACGTCCCGAGGGGCTACGCGACGGGATGTACAGGCAATTGTAAAACGGGAGAGGGGGGGGGGGGGAGGGAACAAACAAAAAAAACATACAATAAACTAATCGGACGAGCGGGGCGGTGGACACTGCCAGACGCCACCCCTAAAAACACCGTCCCCCGAGGTAAAACGCATAAACAACGCAACAGCTGCGTTCAAACGCGCCTGGCGGCAGGGTAAAGATAACCGCGCAATAAATCGCGCGCCCGTGCACTTCACAGTCGCAATCTGGGCGTCGGTGGCGCGGGGTACAGGTCGAACGTCGGGGAAGGGGGGGCGAGGGTTCACGCGTCGCACAGCGGAGGGGGCCGTTAAAGGTGCGCGACGCGAGCGTGCCGCGGGGATGCGACGCGAGGTGCCCTCCCGAGCGTGATTGGCCGATGCCCGTCAGCGACGGCCGCCACCGTGACGGAAAATATTGGAAAGCGGACAAGGAAACCGGAGACGACGAAGACGGCGTCGTGCATCTTGCACCGCGCAAGCCCCCGCGACATTCGCGCACACGGTGCGCGCGTGTTATCCGCCACGTGTTGTCCCGCCCGTGGAGCTCTCGATCGATCTCCATGGACACGTTATCTTATCTCCAGAACGCTGAAAAAACGTAAATGTTGAGGGACGCTCCGGAATGAGGACAGCTCCGACACACGGATTGCACTTCCGGTCGAAAAGGTCAGGGGGTCAAGTGTCGAGGCGAAGGCAACGCCCTTGGAGCCGGGTGTATCTCCAGGACGACTCCTGGAGATGCATTCCCCTTCGGAGGCTTCTCCGCTGGGTGCTGCCGCTGCTGATGTTACCGCGGCTGTCGGGCCGAGTAGGGCCACTCGAGATAAAGTCCCTCGAAGGATGAGACTCGTTGATGGAACAGTAGAAGCTCAGGATGCGGGTCTTGCGTCCGTATGCACTACATACGCTCGCTTGCCTCTCGCTCGCCCGTCAATCACATCTTTGTAAAAGTTAAACAGTGTTATTAGATTCTTTTTAGTATCTCGCCACATCAAAGCAGGATGGAGAAAGGGCCCGTTTAAACGCAGCATTGTTGCAAGGCCACATTTTACAAATATAATAATTCTTGCACTACTTTAACAAAAATCCCCCAGCAATGTCCGTAGCAACAGGAATGCTTTGATTGTGAATAGACCGCCGGGGTACTGGTGCTAAAAGGGCCCGCACGGCGGCAGGTCAATCTCGGCGATTAATCCCCCCCCCCACCACCACCGTCGCGGCTTGCGGTGGGGGAAACGGCGACACCGGATCGAGAGCCCTGGCGGTGCTGGGGCCTTTGTTTCTGATCGTTCGACAGCTCACTTCCTCCGAACCGGTTGGGAGGGAGGGGGGGGGGAATGAAAAAAAACTAAAAGGAAAACAAGAATTGACCATCATGCTTAAGAGGAAAAAACCTTTGAGCGCTCGGCTACTCAGCTACGTAACTCTGCAGTTGTATCGCGTTTGGTGACAACATTCGGTGCGTGAGGATGACCGGACAAGGGCGTTCAGTGGTGTGGAGCGAGCAGCTTCACAATCGCAACGTTGGGATTTCAAATCCTGGCTTGGGGGATAACTCAGCCCGTCATCCCCGCTAGGTGGATAAAAGGAGTACCCACTGTGTGGAAAGTCAACGGTGGTTGTGCTCTGGAGAGACTCAACCCCACCATAATAATGTGTGGTTTCCACCACTGGCTGAGAACTGTTTAAAATGTGTTGTGTTATTCGCAGTTATATCTCGTGTTTTTGTATTAAAACCTCCACCCATTCTTATTATAGAGCCTCCATCATGGCTCAATAACAACAACGGAAAGAATAAACTTCCTTTTCTCCACCGCCAAACTCGAACATTAATCCTCCTCGGAGGCATGCAACTGCTAAATTCCGCGGCGCATCGTAACCTCGGCACCGTGCCGGGAGGGGGGGTGGGGGGGTGTGGCGAACAGGCGGACAGGCGAAAGCCATCCCCAGGTGGACAGATCGCAGCGAAGGAAACGAAAACCGTGCAGGCCACCTGCCGGGGCGATCACGTCGCGAGAATGCGAGAACACACTGCGCTGATTGTTTCTCCACCGGCCGCTCTCTCGCGCTCCGCTCGCGATTTGTTTCGTGCGGCGGCTCTCCTGGGTAGGCGAGCTGGCCGGGAGGAAGGCTCCTTCAGGCCGGCCACAGCAAGCGACGGTCGCTGTGCTACAACAATAATAAGAATCACTGCGTAGGCGACAGCGGCCGTGCTGTATAGCCCTCCGATGTGTTTTCGAGCTGTGCCGTGCGTTTGTTCGGCCCGTGTCCCCGCACCTCCGATCCGCACGGTTGGCTACGAACGGCGCGAAAGAAGTTCAACATACATACGTCCATACACGTCCGACATTTTGCTCCACGTGTTGGAAGCTTCATCAGAAACCAAACGCGCACGGACGTCCTGAAGAGTCAAACAACACCACGTGGTACGGCCCTAAAACACAATAGCGCGGTTGCTTCGCGAGTGTTTTACATAAGGGAGGGAACAATAGCAACTGGAGACAACCGCCAAGTGTGAGAGGGTAGGAATTAAATGTACGCAGAGTCACTTGTCAAGCAACTGACGAGAATGACAAATGTGATTTACACGTGAATTAAACGGTAAATTTTACAGGATCTCACCCAATCAGCGTGATCAGTGCAGTGATGGCAGCACTTTTACATCCCACAGGCCAGGGGCTTTGCGGTATGCGTGGAGAGACCACGAAGAATTTGGCAACCCGGGTGCTTTTTGTAACCCTCCAAAATTCTGGGAATCTTTGTGAAAAAAATAACATCTGATGTGAACGTTGGGCCCACTCAACCCGCACCGACCAGGCCTTATTCTGGGCTATAACAAAAAAGAAATAAATAGATTATAAGTTTTGGCGAGGAGTCCAAAAGTAAAGTTAATCGTCCGTGACGTTTCCTAAACTTTGGTACGCACATTAATTCGGGGGGGGAGGATTAAATAACAGGCCTGTTGGGTCGCAATACGTAGAGTGGGAGCGACGGCTTTAGCCCACAAAGTGCCTGTAAATCCACTGGCTCGCGCTTACCCTGAGCCGACATTGGTGCTTCCACGGTGCAAAGGAAGGACGCGGTGCGGACATGTAAAGTATTCCCTCGTTATTCAAAAATTTGCTATCCGCGATTTTGGGCTATCCACGAATCACATCTGGAACTGTACACGGGCTACTAAGCGTCTCGCTTGCAACAACCGGACCGTATTGTTTTATGTCGCAGACAGAAGGTTACATAATTAGGGTTCCCCCTGCATTACTTTAGCGCGTGGGGAAACGACAGTTGTTCTGTTGCATTAAGTGTGTGTACATAAAGCATATGTAAAAAAAATACAATGAAGGGGCACTGTTTAGCCTGGGAACGCTAGTTGAGGCAAGGGTTATTAGCGAGCACCTATTAAGGCTGGCATACGGCATAGGTAGTTTGTGTACTAGGCGTTGGGCTTGGCAATCTGGCTTTCATTCTTGGCCATGATGTAAAACACCAGTAGCAAATGGATTCCTAGACTTAAGGCTTAAGTTTTTCACTTAATATTGTCCAGCTAGCTAGTAGACGCTGGTGGCACATCACAGCCATAACAAGAGGTACACTCAGTGTGGTGTGCCGGAGATAGAAATATTTTTACGGACAGACCCGGCTAAACTTAAGCCGTACCTCCACCGGGTACGGCGGTATTGTGGACAGCAACAGCACGGAGGAGACAAAGACGGCTGTGTGTTCGCACAAGGTACCAGGGACAATGCACACTGTGCCAGCCCAAACAGGTGCTTGCTGACACCACGTGCCCCAGACTTAGTAGCAAGGCTAAGAACGTGGAGGAAAGGCGGGTCTCTGTGTTTGCCACTGTGCTTGCAGCGCCACTCACTTCCATCGGCGTGTGAAGAGAGCGCGAGAGACAGCAGGGCCCAGCTGTCGGCTTGCTCCGCAGACAACGACACTGCTGCCGCTGCTCCGCTCGCCGCTTGCTTGCCCTGTCCGGGCCGGCACAGCCTCCGGCACGTGACCACCAGTGTCTCGGTGAGCACCGGTCCCATGAGCCACGCCTGGGCCAGGTGCAGGCGTCCCGTGTCTGCACATGCCTGGTGAAAACAACGGCAACGACCACAAACAACAACAACAGCTCTGTGAGCAAGGTTACCGCCACAACAACTATCATCAACAATGATAACAACCACCTTCAGCAAGGCCACCAACAACAATCATCAACTAGAGTTGTTGTTGGCTACGTACGGTGTGAAATAGGATCAACATACATACATACAACAATAATAGCACAATCAGCAAGAGCACCAATGGCACCGTCATGAATAGAAACGATAGATTATTGAATCAATCGGTGCAGGGATGAGAGTTTTATCAGTTTGTATAAGCAGCTTTAATGCATGTACTCCAATTTGCTCTCACATGCCAAACACACTCATTAGTATTATTGGCCAAACTTCCGAATGTACGAAGTGTGGCCAATAACCTGTTACGGAAGTGCATCTCACACTCGTAATAATACGCCGAGTCAAAAAGTCACAAGTCAAGGTCACAGGTCAAGGTCACGGTATTCCTAAAAGAGCAGCGACACTAGACAGGATGCGCTTGTCACGCGGGTGCCGGTCATCCACAGTCACAGGATCCAAACCACTGACAAATAAAACTAATAACACAAGAGCCACCACGTGTGCGCTGGCGTTTTAAACTCGTGGCTCGCAAGCAAGCGGGCTTCACCAAGGGCGTAACGCAGACCGCGCACACGGCTTTGTACATCTGTTTTTACGAGCCTTGTTCCACCGGGCTACGAGAGAGGCGCTTGATCGCCGAGGGCAATTAGCATTGCCGGAAAACTCCGCGGGGGAGCACGGCAATAAAACGCGGGCCCGGCCCACGGCAGCCGCGAGCGCCGCGCTTCTACGGCAAGCAACGGACGAGAGCAGTTCGCTCGAAAATTAAATGTAAAAGGGATCCAAAGAGGCGGCTGTCTCGGTCAGACGGTGCTCCCGGCCACAAATCGTTGACAAGAAACGCCCCATCTGCCTTTCACAGTGGCCTCTCTGTTAACAAAAAAAACACACCAAAATAATAAATGAAAGAAAACGGTAATTCCCACGTACGTGAAATACGACAAGACCTCCACTTTGGCCCGACGCCCCCACAACCGACTTCACCTCCTTTCCGTCGAAGCTGTGAAAGATCTGCCCTCCTCCCTCATGCGATCAACACCCACGTCTCTAGTTGCCCCTACCCACCCTCCCCAACCTCGGCATCTCTAAGTCTAATGATATTTTTATCCCCAGGGACTATAGCAAGGGCCAAGAGGCTGTTTGTGATTAAGTGAGATGAAAGATGACCCATCTGCGCCCTTTGGTGCAGCACGCTCAGCTGATACATAGCAGGCATCTTCGAAGCGAAGCTGTCGACGTTTTGAGAATCCAAGCTCGCTCGTGCCTCCGCCCACGCGGCCCTTTAGCGGACGGCGAGAACAGCATGCTGGACTCCCAGCATGCACTGCATGGTGCAGCCCTGCAAATGCTCGCTCACGACACTGCTGGGGGCTCAAGAGAGCCCCTCTAAGAGGGCATCTTTGGCCTATTCTTCCTCGCTGGAAGAGGTGGTGGTACCCACACTTTACCCCAACGCATGCGAACTGCCGATTGACCAACTGTGGTGGTGCTCATTAACATTGCTGGGTGGAAAGAGGTGGGCGATTTAAGAAGCTTGCATCATTCCTTTAACTGCCACACAGGTCAGACTAATCAAGCCGGCCACCACTTTTTGTGTGCTAACGATTACAACATGGTAGAAAATCGTGTATGTGCTTGATAATATATGGGCAAAGTTCAGTAACGAACATGTATTCTGTATTTAATTCATTTCATCTTGATAAACAACGTAACTATGTGCTTGAGAAAAAAACATTTTCAGTCAATTTACATTGCCCATTATAACGACATGATTGAGAGATATGGACATTTAAAAACAAAATCAAAGCTCAAATACACGAATCATACGAAGTGACTGAGAGAAAAAACCGTGGATTAGGGAACACACATATTAAAGACATAATATTGACTGTGATTTAAAGTGACCTCTGGATTGCAAGTCCAGCGTGCTAACTATTGCACCACCGTGGCAGCATGATCCGTGACTCCAGCAACGCTGCAAGTAAAACAATAATTGCCGGGCGGTGATGGCTATGCACGTGACCTGTAATACAGCACTGTGAAATCAGCGAGGGCTGGTGGATGGAACAAATGTTGTGAAACTCCCTTCCCGTGGGCATCGAGGCGCCATACCCTGGCTAGCAGGAAGCAGTACAGCGAGTGGACTGATCGCCATCTCTTTGCATCTGTACAGGGGTAGAGTGCTGCTCCCTAGCGCGTTCCGGTTTCCGTCAATATGTATCAGCACTCTCAGAATTCCCAGCGTAGAGGGTCGCTACTTAAAAAAATTACAATTAGAATGTTTATCGAGATGTCGCGCAATGAATTAGCATGCACGTGGCAGGTGATCAAGTAATTTGGTCGTAAAATGTGTAAAACAAAAATGTTAATAATTATTGGGCTGGATCAGTTGCAAAAGGGTTAGCGCACTGCACTATGGACCCAGCCACTGCTGACATCTGCACCTGTGCTGGTGCCCACCACTTCACCAACCCAGACTCTCCGGCGTGGTGAAGTATGGTCAAACAACACCCGTGAGAGAGAGGAGTGGGGTGGCGATCGTCCAGCAGCGAATTGACAAACGGCTTTGTACGTTATCATTTTCGCTTTCTCCACTCGATTTCCCGGTTCAGCACCTCCTCATGAAGCCCAATGCGTTCGAGTGAAACGCCGTCGCATGTTGAAGTTCGATTCAGTGACAAAAAGCTTTAATCCAATGCTGAGGGGGCTTCGTTGAGTCAGAATTTGATCGATACATCAGCGCGGATAAACATTATCCTGGTGAATGTGACACGTTTGTTGGATGGTGGGGAGTTAATGATGAGGTTTGCATAAACCTACCACATGGATCATTATTGTCATCGATGTAAAATAACATACCCAGTAATTGGATACAGATGATCGGATCTGCCACAGATTATCATTGGCGATCCCAAGGCGGATCTGCACGTTAGCAGTGGCAAGCGAGAGGCCCTGCTAGTCTCCTCTTGTCCTTCTCCGCACCTCCAATTAGCACGGTTGGCTATGTACGGTGCAAAAGACGTTCAATAAACGTTCAAATATATATATACACACAGAAGCTGAACAAAATAGAAATAGCAACTGCATATGCCGTGCATTCATCAACCTCCAAAACATGTGAAACATTTAAAAAGCCCTGGCTGGCTTCACTGCTAGACCCAACAGGGGCGACCGTTTGGAGCGAGCGAGGACTTCTGGGAAAGGCCCTTCGCTCGGCCGTTTGGACACTTACAAGGACACAAGGAGAAATATATCAGCCCAGGGACGATGTCTCTTATTGTAGCACAGGAAGCGTGCATGCACACGCTGCTCTGTGTAAATTAGGTTGCGGCTAGGGGATACGGACACTGCCTCTCATGTGCTATTACTGTGCGCGCATGCATTCAGGCACACAGGCATGTGTACACGGCATATTTGCGACCGAACACAAGGGGCGATCAGCGTGCTTTGGCAATGAGAGACTATGCATGTATAAAGTCACGCTGACCTAAAGTATTCCTTACTGTCAAGCCTCGCATTCATATGTCACAGTAATTTCACAGGATGCAAAAAGCGATAGGAATGATAATCTAATTTATCAGTGTAGGGTTTCGCAGTTGTGCTGTATAGTTCTCCGATTTGGAATATCATTAGGATGCATTGTAAATTATTTTATGCACACACGATTCACCGCTTGCATTGTGAGCACCGCGTACATATCATCTACTGTTTCCAGCCATGAGTATCTCTCACGACAGGTTCCATCCCAACTGCTCACAATGCTTCTCTATAGCGCCTCCCATTTTCCACGACAGAATCGTCGTCATCATTCCCCCAGCTGACCCTCATACGGTACACCGTGTATACGGGACCTTCCTTCTCATTAGACTTCCCAGTCAATTTCTGCCGGGAGATAAAACTCCATCGATCAGCACGGTTTCCGACGTATAGTGCATGTGTATGTAAGTGGAACTTCTATCGCGTCGTGCATAGCCAACCGTGCTCATCGGAGGTGCGGGGGAAGGCCACCAAACTATATATGTACGTTGAACTTCTTTTGCGCTGTACTTAGCCGAGCCGCGCTATTTGCATAATGTACATTGCCTCAGTAATTCCCCCCCACCCCACATTGTGCAAGAGCGCAGATGCGTGGTCGCCACATCTACAGTGAGGGAAAAAAGTATTTGATCCCCTGCTGATTTTGTACGTTTGCCCACTGAAAAAGAAATGATCAGTCTATAATTTTAATAGTAGGTTTATTTGAACAGTGAGAGACAGAATAACAACAACAAAATCCAGAAAAACGCATGTCAAAAATGTTATAAATTGATTTGCATTTTAATGAGGGAAATAAGTATTTGACCCCCTCTCAATCAGAAAGATTTCTGGCTCCCAGGGGTCTTTTATACCGGTGTAGTGTTGACAAAGGAGGCAGAGACTTCTTTTTAGGCAACACTGTTTATTCGCTCTAACCTCAGAGAACCTCCCTAACACAGAGAGGTAACGGCCTCTACCACCCGATAGCCCAGAGGATGATACGTCCTCGTACTTAGTGTGCCCTCCTCACACTATACTCTGCTTAACGGGTACCGCCACTGGGCCGTTCGGACCTGGCACTGACAAGGGCCGGAGGTCGGAAGTCCCAGGGCACTATCTCAATGTCTTGAGTCTTGAGGTGAGTGCGGACTGGCTCATGTTGGGAGAGCTGCTGCCCTTTATATCCTTCCTCTCCCAAGCGTCCTGTCTCTCGAGAGAGGGTCTGGGTCCAACCGTTGGCCCCCCAGCCCCCTCCCTCAGTGGGCTCTGGCCCCCTCACCCCTGGTCAATGGTTATTGTAGTCGTGACTCATACGATACTGCTATGCAGGTAAGTATACATGTTGCGCTTAACAATGCCGCTACACAGGTAACGAGCTGAGATTAGGAGCACAC